ATATATATATATATAGATGCTATAATAAATTTTTTTATATAGATTATAAATATTTAAAAATCAATGAAAATGAAAATAAAAAATTGTATAAATTAATGAAATAATGAAATAATTATTTTTGTATCATAAAAGTATTTAACATTTATATTACATTTATAAAATATATAATATTATATAATTTTTATATAATATTTTTATACCTCATTTTTTGTATAAAATAATTTCAATTCAATTATAATGTTGAAATTTAATTTTTTTTTAAAATATAATTTTTATTTTATTTGTATTTTATTTTATTTTGTTTTGTTTTATTTTAACATAAAGAATAAATACAATGATTTTATTCGTTAATATACACAATATATAATTAAATTATTAAATTTTATATACATTTATATTTTATTATTTGTCTAATTCCACTTTATTATTTTATATCTAATAAAATAATTTAAAAATTATATATAATGATATGTATAATTAGATATGTTTTGAGATAATTAATTAAAAATCATAATAGAAAATTATTAATTATCTAAAGGTTTACTTATTTAGAAAAAATCATTTATTAAGATAAATATCATTTTGCTCAATTTTTTTGTTTTTCTTTTTTTTTCAAAATTATCTTCTTCGTGATTTTTCTTTGTTTTCAATAAATTTATTTCGATCTAATACACAATGTTTTTCGCTTTTAAATAGAACTGAAAGAGGATTGGTAGTGCTCTCACTGGCAAGTTCAATTTTTAGCTGTATGAGTGCGCTCGTGACGTTTTGCACTTTGTATAGCCTGTATAGGACAAGTTCTACATTTTGTGCACCAGTGGTGCCGCTATCGCGGTTCGAGATGTATCATTTTTGGATTTATTTTTTTTAAAGTCATGATATCATGTTTCGACCTATTTTTTTTTATAGACATTAGTGTAAATTGTGTGTAGAAATGTGGAAAAAATAATTATTAAACTTATTAAATGTGATTAGTTTGTTTAAAAGTTAAATTAACTAGTGCAAGGTGTGACCGCGCGTGATTCGAGGTAAAGGATAGCTTCTTTCTACTCGACTGTCTTCCATACTAGCTGGTTGCCACGAGATCGTTTCGTATAAATATTTTTTTTAAATAAATCATCAAGGCTTCCCTACTGACTTAGTGATTTAAAAATCAGGTTAAAAGGATACTGATTCTTCTATTGTTTTCATTGTGAAAGTGTTGAATGCACCTTCAAATGTGATATGTTTCAAAACTGTATATATGTATGCATAGCATTAACATACACTTTGTTATCAAAATTTTTATTATTTATAATGCTAAATGCTTAATTATTGTCAAGCATCATATTTTTTCCATTAATGTTATTAGTTCAAATAATTATAAAAAAGTATCTATTCAAAAATATTTTACAATATTTAATATTTAAATATTTAATACTTAAAAAATCATTTGAATGATTGTTAAATGAAAATGTTTTTTTTTTAATTTTTTCTTTTAAACTATTTATTCATATTATTTTATTTAATTTTAATTTTTTTTTAAGAAAATTAATATTTTAAAATATCTATTATTATTAACGTAAATAATTTTTAATTTATGTTGTATTTTATTATAATAAATACAACATAAATATTATAAAATTATAAAAATATCACAACATATGAAATTATAATTTGAAATTTTTGAAATAATTTAAATTATTGAAATAATACATTTTAGATTTGAATAATTTAGATTTAAATTAAAAAAAAAAATTTTAATGACGTGAATAGACAAATTTTATAAGTATTTATTAATAATAACAGAAATTTCAATAATAAATTTTGTAATTTAGTTATTATACTATTGGATCATATGAATTATTGTGAAGATGTAGAAACATACAAGCGCGAGAAGTACCGTTTCTCAAAACGGTCGGTCGCGAGCGCGATGATAATTTGCAACGTAAACGTTTCCATACAGTTAGTTTCAGGTCAGTTACGAGTTTCATCGTCAATGCTCATCATGGAGAAAAATATACTATACTAAATTATTATGGAAATTTTACTCTTGTAATATTATATCGAGGTCGATTCGTTGTTTGCTTACGAGAAAATAGGAACAAAATAATTTTGTCTCAAATAAGATTTAGTTTTCAGATCGAATAAACTTTGTCCTCGATTTCTACAAATAATTTTCTTAATTCTATGGTAAAGGATAGTTAAGGATTGAATCTATTTTGATTCAACTTTTTAATATTATATTTATCTATTATTTATTCTATTAAATTAATAAATAATGCTATTTATAGAATTAATATTATATTGCATAAATTACAATAAATAAATTGCAATAATATCATATTATATGTAAAATGATAAAAATGAAAGAAACATATTTTCAAATATTATTAAAAAATTTATTATTGTTTCTTAAACTTATTTGTTTTTCGTATATATTAGTATCCATGATAAAATTTAAAGAAAAATTTTAATTTGGTAATAAAAATTGAAAGAAAGATTTTAATTTGGCAATAAAAATTCAAAGAAAGATTTTAATTTGAATTATTCTAAAAAAAAAAAAAAATAATAAAAGTAAAAAGATAAAAGTAATAACAAAAGTAATTGAATAGTGAAAATTATAAAAAAAGTGGATTTTATATTCATCTTGTATTTTTAAAATGTACGAAATGCATTTTTTTATTTTATTTGTTTTTTACTATTAAAAAATAAAGTTTGAATTTTGAAAATTAAAATGTAAATTTTTATAAATCACAAATATTATAATTTCTTCTTAAAAATTTTCCAAAGTTCTAGATTAAAAAATTTTTATTATAATATATAGATATAATAAAAAGCTTAGCTTATAATAAAAAGCTTAGTAATAAAATTTTAATTTAATAGTCTTCAAATAATTTTCCATTATCTTTATAATATTATTTTTCATATTATATTAATATGATTATCTTATCTATAAATATTTCAATATATTGGATATTTTCGCATGCGATCGATCTCATAGAACAAGTTTCTTTGAATAAATCTTAGTTTATATACTTATTTTTCTTATTATATCAGAATATGCGAGAAAAGAGAGCAAAGAAATTTATATTATCGTCATAGCACATTTTTTATTAACAAGTTTTATACACATGTTCTTAAGAAATAATTGAAATGTTGATAAGAAATAATAGAAGAAATAAAACGAAATTGATAGCGGGAAAAATTGAATCGTATATTACGGTCTCACGATTTCTTATATGGCTTAATAAAAAGTAACCAGGATTATTAATTCGTTTTCTCTTCGAATTCTTATCGTAAAAGAAAATCATCATTAATTTATCGAATATTCATGTTTTCTTCAAATTTTATAAAAAAATATTTATAAAAAAATATCTCTACATATTTCGATTTGAATAATAATTTCAATCACATTAATTAATCATTAGTTTTGCCGTCAGTTGATTATGAATATTCTGAAAAAAATTTTCATTGCATTACTTTTTCATTATTCACTTTCATTATTAATGAACAAAGCTGCAAAGTTTATAGATTAATAAGAAAAAGAACACGAACAAAATTTTTTTAAAAATATATAACTAAAAAATATGCAAAGACAATAAAAAAAGATGAAAGATAAAAAGATTAAAATACGTGGCATGTAAAAATAGTATTTACAAAAACATAAGAATCGTGATTTTTAGATATTAATAGTGAGCATTAGCGAACAGAAAATCACGAATGGAGAACGAAAAGCAAATAAAAACAGGAATAGTTAAAAATCAAAGGACAAGAAAAATATTTATAAATGTGCAAGCAGAAAAAAATTTACATCACTATTAGGAAGAAACAATAGGAGGGGAAAATTTATGATATAAAGGAAGAGATAAAAAGTAATAATGGAAAAATATGAAATGGAAAGAGACAAACGAAAAATGATAAATAAATAATGAAAGAAATAAGCGAAGAAAGAGATATATAATAAAAGAAGAAATTCATCAAAACGGAGAAAACAGAAAGTATACTACGATAAAGATACACAATAATAAACGAAAGACAAGGAAATAGAAGAAAAAGAACAAAAGAGGGGAAATAAAAAGAAGAGTGAAAGAACAAAAAAAGAGAAGCGTGAATAGTGTGGTTTTGGATTAAGTGCGATAGTAAAGAAGGTTGTGGAAGAAAGAAGAAAGGTGCATTATACCTGGAATACATCCTGGAGTCCGATGTTCAGAGTCGTATGATGGCCGGGGCTCTATCTGAGAATGCCCCGAGGCCTATTAGTGTCGTCGCAGTAAGCGGTGCAACAATTGATAATGCAAGAAGTAACCAGCTTAATAGATCGCAGGTACGTAAATTACAATTATTATTTTTTATAAGCTTTGTGCAAATAACGAAAATTTATTAATCTTTTTATGAAATTTTAAATATCGCATTCTGTATAAAATGAATTAATTATTACTGTTTATTTATTTAATTACTTAATATAAATGTGAAAAATTAATTTTTTTCACATATCAACACTAAAATTCATTTTACAAAAATATTAAATATATTTTAGAAATTACTAATCAATCGTTTTCTAATTCAAATATACAATTTATACATTAAAAAATAAATTCAATATTTTGTAATAAAATATTATTAATACAATAAATATTAGATATATTATATATAAAAGATATATTATTGATTAATTTTTTGTTTTTTTAATTTTATTTGATTTTAAATTTTTAGAATTTCAATGACTATTGCTATTTTACAAATTTTTAAAATATTATTAAGTTTGTATTTTTTTTATAATAAAGATAATTATAATTTTGTAAACAAAAAATCTAAATAGATATATTTATACTATTTTCATTATTTATTACTTTTATCAATTATGGTATTTTGTATATTTAATTTCAATATATAATAAGAAAATATAAATTTTAAATTTTTAATTAATTTAATAATTTAAATTATATTATATTAAATAAGTTAGTATAGATATCTTTGAGTATATATATATTGGACTATTGCTTTTAAAATTCAGAATTTATGTTATATATAAATCTTTTTTTGACAAGAAAAATGCTTATTAAAATGCTCAGAGTAATTATTTTTGTAATATATATAATTAATATCCAAAAAATTGTTATTTTCTCATTAAAAATTGAAGAAATTATAAAAATAAAATATCGATAAGAACTTTTTTTTTAACTCCATTGTAATTAAAAAATGTAGTAGGCATTTTTTTTATTTTTTTTGAATTTCTGATATAACGAATTTTATAAGAAAGATTGTGCATTCATATAAAATTTTTAATAGATTATAATTTGTTATTACTTATTTTAAAAAAATAGGAGATTATGTCAAAAATAATTTGCAAATTAAATAAAAGTGTATAATATAAATAATTTTTAATTTAAATAATATTTAATTCAAATATTATCAATTAATTTTTTAATAATTTTTTTATAGAGAAATTTAAAAAAGATTTAAAAAAGATATTAAAATAAATGATAAAAACTAACATCCATTTATTTATGAAGTTTTTTAAAGGTTATTTTAATAAAAATTTATCAAAAGAAAAGATAAAAGATTTGTAAAAATTTATAAAAATTATTAATTTAATTTTGTTATAGTATATAAGTATAGCAAAATTAGAAATATATTTTTCGTATAAATATATTATTATTTGTTATGGTAATTAATTACTTTTTATGATTAATTACTTTAATATGTGACTGATTTTTATAGTTTATAATGTACTGAATATAAATCTGTAAATTATTTCAGAATAGTTTTTAAAAATCAATTTAAAAAACTATAAATTTTTAAATTTGAAAGTATTATTTTATATTAATTAAATTATAAAGTATTATGTTTTTATAGTAATATTTATTCAGTTACTTTTAACATTTCTTATTTTTAACATTCTTCTAGATTCTCTTAATAAAATAATATAAATAATTATTAAATTAAAGGATATTTTATTAATTATTTGATTATAAATATTTAAATAATATTTAAATAATGATTAAAATTAAAAAAACATTCAAAACATATTTATTTTTCTTGATATTTAAAATATATATTTCAAAATTAAAGCAAAATAATAAAAAAATAAAATGATTGTATATATTCCTCGATGTTTTATTTAACAGAAAGATCTGCTCCATCGCTTAGTATGATTAAATTTTCTTTTAGATTTTAAACTTTTGAAATAAATTTATATATTTAAAATTTTCTCCTAGACTTTTAGTTTTTAAAATAAATTTAAAAAATGTCAATTTAAAATATGTTTTGAGTATTTTAACTTTGATCATTATTAAATATATTTGATATATATTTATTTTTAATATTAAAATATATTTAAGTATTATATAATATTTAATAATCTAATAATCTAATACTTATATCATTTATATTACTCGGAAAAATTCATAAAATCATTTCGTGTCTTGGATAATTGAATATTATAATTTTATAAACTGATCTAATCTTAAAAATCTTTTAGAAAAATGAAACTAAGAAAAATAAGGTATTAGATATTTGACAAATGATTGTAATTAAAATATACGATATTTTATTATATGAAACATTAAATTAAGAGATATAAAAAGAAAATATAATTTTCAAATCAAAAGATTTTCTAAAATAAATATTTATTGTCAGCATAATTTAATTTAATATTTAATGATTATAGAATTCTTTAGAATTTTAAATATAAGAAAGATTTTAACTATTTGAAAAAGTGTAAAAACTTTAATTAAAAGAAACTTTATATTAATAAAAAGATGATAAAAAGAAAAATGATAATAAAAATAAAATAAAAAGGAAAATAAAACAAAATTTAAAAATGTTATTATATACTATATTATTAAAAATTATTTAATAAATCATAAAATTATTTGATCAGCCAAAAATACGATAATGTAAAAAAATAAGATGAATGAAATACTCAAACACGAAGGCTTTTTTTATTTGCAAATATACAATTTACAATTCAATAAAATCATTAAAAAAATAAATCGAAGAATATTCATAATATTTATAATATACAAAAAAATGTGATATTTTATTCTTACATGTCATTTTTATATTATTTTATGTCAAAAAATTGTTACAAAATTAATAGTTAGTTTTATATATTTTTAAATTTAATATTTTGTCAAGTTTCTTGTAAATATGATTTTGGAAATTTCAGATATTAATGAAAAAATTATTGAAAAATTTGATTAATTCTATTTTATTTTTAAATAAATCTTATCTATTTTTTGTCATTTTTCTTTTATTTTATAATTCTATTTTGTTTCTAATAGAATATCTGAATATTTTAATATTTGTTTCTATAATATTTTCATACAAGGATAATAAACTAAAAATGTTATATAGAAATGCTGTAAAAAATAAAAAGTTCAACATTTTTTAACGCATAAATAGTTTATTAATAAATAAATTAATAAACTAAATAATATATATAGAAAAATTAATATTTCAAAATAAATTTTTTTTTTTTATGAAGACGTAGAAAAACATTTTTTTGGTTTCGCAGTATAATCGCAATATAACTTTCTTAGTCTAACATATTTAATTATTTCAACACATTATCTAGATATTCATTAATTTATAATTTTAAATATATTATAATATTTATATATATGCTATATATTAGTATTATTTTTTAATTCAGAATATAAGTGAGTTTTTTATTTTGTTCTACTATTTGGTTTTATACTATTTCTGCTTGATTTAGATTACTATCTCTTTTTGATTTGATTAAATAAGAAAGTAAAGGGTTTTTCAGTATCTTTAAGGATATCAATTTTTTTTATGTTTGTCATGTTTTCATATAATTTCGCATATTTTTTTATCAATTTTGTGCAATTATATTGTATATTTCTATATTAATCTGAAATTTTATTAATTTAGATTATTTCGAGTTATTAAACATCAGTGAATAAACAAATTTTTATGCTTTAAAGTAGAGAATGGCTTTTAAACATTTACATGAATAGGTATCAATCAACAAAAATGAAATAAAGTATCTGTTTGGACTGATTTTATGGATGGAATTTTATGGTGAAATTCCCATTCATGCATCTTATTAGTTTCAGGATACATTGTTTTCTCTTGAAAGTAATGAGTAGAAAATAATTTGAAATTTTATTGAGAATGTTATATTTCACAGATAATTCAATAGTTGATGCATCTGATTGTTGTCAAAAACTCAAATTATTATAAACGAAATAAATAAAAGATGAACAAAAATTTAAAAAAATATTATGATCCATCCGAAATATTATGTATCGACGAATTATTACTCTCATTTCGCGGACGAATCATATTCAATATTTGAAACAAAAAAAATATAAATATAGCAAATAAAAATATTTAAATTATAGATGTTGCGATTATGGATACAGTTTTCGTGTCTATACAGAAAAAGCTCTGGAGAAAGAATATTATATTGTAATGGATTTATATAAAGATGTGTTTCATAAAAACTATACATATATGTAATGTAAACTTGGCGAATAAACTAATAAAGAAAAATATATATTTGATTAATATATTTTGATCGTAAATGAAACTTAAATGAAATGATAATAATTAAATTGAAACGCGGAAAAATTATTGATGAAGAAAATAGTAATAAAGTTTTAGAATGGAAAGATAAAAAATATTTTGGTTTTTTTTACGAAAAATTCTAGTGAAATGATAAATATAAAAATATAAATTTATCATAAACTAAAAATAGTCGTTGAATATAATACAAGAAAAACTGCTATTAATTTTTCTGATCAAATAAGTGCATTGAATCAAATAATAGCTTTTGTTGTTGTTGTTGTTATCAATTGCAAAAAAAAATGTACATAAAGTTCGAATTATTGTTCTGAATGAAAAAACGTTCTGGCGATTAATCATTTGGTTAATCATTATTTTTTGTAATATATGTTGCGTCATTAACCTTGGAAACATATGAAGGTTGATTTATAACACGAGTGCATAAGATTATTTTTGAATGAAAGTTTTTAGAAGATTTTAAATAATAAACCAAATATCTCAAAATTCTCTGTTTCTATATTCAATAGTTGCAAACGTGTTATAAATCAGGCGTTCTGAAGGGTAATTTTAAAACAATTTGTTACTGTTCTCTTGATCATAAGCTTTACTTAAAAGATAACTTCAAAATCTCGCGGTGTTATCTCATCCCTTCCATTAGAAACGTTCGACATTACGGAAGGGACGAAAATAATATAATAATAATAATGTTAATGTGTCTTTTGATTTTCCAAAGAATTAAGATTATCAATCAGGAATGTAATGAGACAAATGAAATGAGATAAATGCGAAAAT